TGGTGTAGAGGAGGCTGAGGGAGGGGAAGGAGGGCAGGTTTTGGGGTTAGGAAGCCCTTACTGGTGTAGAGGAGGCTGAGGGGGGGAAGGAGGGCAGGTTTGGAGTCAGGGTTAGGAAGCCCTTAATGGTGTAGAAGAGGCTGAGTGGGAGGAAGGAGGGCAGGTTTGGGGTCAGGTTTTGGGTCAGTAAACCCTTACTGGTGTAGAGGAGGCTGAGTGGGGGGAAGGAGGGCAGGTTTTGTCCCCGGGGGCTTTTCTTCTCCTCGAATCCGCAGGGGAGGCCACTCAGGAAGTCCTTGCGCTGCTTGTTGAGGCCCAGCCACAGGTAAACCTCCATCTTGGCCTGCACCGTCCAGCCCGCGGGGCCAAAGCCCCTCTTCCCGGGAAGCTGGGGGGGAACAGGGGGTGCCAGAGGTCGGGGGGTGACTTAGGATTTCTTCGAGGTTTTTTTGAGTTTTTCTAATTTTTATAAGCTTTATAAACAGTTATATCATAGAATCATAGAATCAGAGAATCAGCTGGGTTGGAACGAGGGATGCCTGAGTTCAGGGTGGTGCCTTAAGATTTCTTCTTAGGCTTTTTGGAGTTTTTCTGATTTTATAAGCTTTATAAGTGGTTATATAATAGAGTCATAGAATCATAGAATCATAGAATCAGAGAATCATGGAATCATAGAATAATAGAATTATGGAATCATAGAATCAGAGAATTATAGAATTATAGAATCATGGAATCATGGAATCACAGAATCATAGAATCATGGAATCATAGAATCACAGAATCATAGAATCACAGAATCATAGAATCATGGAATCATAGAATCACAGAATCATAGAATCATGGAATCATGGAATCATAGAATCGTATAATCACAGAATCATAGAATCAGAGAATTATAAAATTATAGAATCATGCAATCACAGAATCATAGAAACATGGAATCAGAGAATCATAGAATCATGGAATCAGAGAATCATGGAATCATGGAATCAGAGAATCATGGAATCAGAGAATCATAGAATCATGGAATCAGAATCATGGAATCACAGAATCATAGAATCAGAGAATCAGAGAATCATAGAATCATGGAATCAGAGAATCATGGAATCAGAGAATCAGAATAGAATCAGCTGGGTGGGAACAAGGGATGCCAGAGTTCAGGGTGATGCCTTAAGATTCTTCTTAGGTTTTTGGGTTTTTCTAGTTTTTATAAGCTTTATAAGCAGTAATATCAGAGAATCAGAGAATCAGAGAATAATAGAATCAGCTGGGTTGGAAGGAGGGATGCCAGAGTTCAGGGTGGTGCCTTAAGATTTCTTCTTATTTTTTGGGGGTTTTTCTAATTTTTATAAGCTTTATAAGCAATTATATAATAGAATCATAGAATTATAGAATCATAGAATCATAGAATCATAGAATCATGGAATAATAGAATCAGCTGGGTGGGAACAAGGGATGCCAGAGTTCAGGATGGTGCCTCAAGATTCTTCTTAGTTTTTTGGGGTTTTTCTAATTTTTATAAGCTTTATAAGCAATTATATCATAGAATCATAGAATTATAGAATCAGAGAATCACAGAATCACGGAATCATGGAATCATGGAATCAGAATCATAGAATCACAGAATCATAGAATTATAGAATCATGGAATCACAGAATCAT